CCATGTTTGAGTTCTTACTGGTGCAGTTGAGCATGCTAAGAAAGAGGGTTTTGTCACTTTGAATCTTGAACAAGCTCAATCTCTGCTCAATGCTACCAGGTGAAAGGTATTCAGCTGAGTTGGAAATGCCTCAGCATGGTTATCTGTAAGCCGATGCCAGCAAGTTTTAACAAAACTGAACCTTACTTTAGCATCTCTATCTAAGGAGGATAACTCTCAAAACTAGAGCAGAAACTAAAAAAACCTTGGCCGAAGCAGCACAAGTGGGCCAGCACCCTTTTCAGAAGAAGCCCCCTCAAGGTCGAGGGGGCATGTCTTATCGTGGCAGGGGATTCCAGATAGGATTTCACACCTAGCAAATATAAAGAACCTACAGACCCAGGGGCAGGGGCAGGGGCTTTCAACCAAGAGGAGCTTTTCAAAGCCACCCCCAGCTCCCACAACAGCAACTTCCTCCACATCTCCATATACAGGTATGTTTTATCACATTATGTTACAAAAATATAACTCATATCCCCATAGTAAGGAGGTTAAAGTTTTTTCTGACCCATTGTCAATTTATAACAAAGGACCCATGGGTTTTGTCGATAATCCATGAAGGCTCTAATCCGATAACCACGTACTATTTGTTAGACTCTGACTCTGACGTCACCCTTATGGACCCTGCATTGGTCAAGGAGCTAAACAATAAAGGAAGTTCTGGAACGCTCTACTTTAACACCGTTAGTGATAAGGACGTGTCTAACCATGCGGAGAAGGTGAGCTTCAAGCTAGCACCCGGCGAAGAACAAAACAAGAAAGTGCCGGGGCGGTGAAAGAGCTTACAATAACACCCAAACACCTAAAGATCGTTAACCATGTGAAACAGTGGCCATATTTACAAATATGCTCCCTTCCCTGACGTTGAAAAGGAAGAAAGCATCAGTATATAGAGGATATTACATGGGCGCGCGGAGACGTATCTCCAAGAGGCCATGTAATGTTCTGTTTATTACATAGATATCGATGAAACTTAAATAAAACAAAAGCTCAAAAATTCTTTATTAAAATAGCAAGCCGATTCAACAGCGATATCTTCACGTGTGAAAGATATGATATCTTCCACTGGTGAAAGATATCAAGTTTTCGACACTAGAGAAAACCTGGTATTTCATCGATATCTATATAATAATAATCGTTACCAACGTTAGTCAAGCTTTTGTTCCACTCGAGGTAAAGAGAGGAAAGCCAAATTGCCATAAGGACCTGTCTACGATGGAGTATTTTTGGCGGTGCTGCCAAAGAATCGGTGAAACAACTTGCAAACTTGGACTTTGTTGTCGGTGAAGACCTCCAGCTCTTTCGTCAGCTACAAGAATTCTCGAACGTAGAATCATACGGTACCTATAACTTTGAAGCAAGACCATTATCCGTGACGGATAATGGTCTTGCTTCGTGGAGTATCAGCAAGCACTGAAACGAATCGACACCTTCACAAAGAACGGAGCCGGACCGTTACCAGATGAGCTTTCTGTGGAAGGATGAGAGCATTTCACTACCATAATATAACATACAATTCACCTAAAGAAACGACTTTGCCGTGATCCCGCACTGGAGTCGAGATACAGAGCCACGATGGAAGAATAATTGGCGAAAGGCTACGCCAGAAGGTTGACAGATGATGAAGCTGCCCAATGCAGTAACGTGACGTGGCATCTCCCACACCACCCGGTCTTGAATCCGGCTAATAAGCCAAATAAGGTTGGGATCGTGTTCAAATTTCGTCTCACGAAATTTGCCAGCAACCGTCGAAAAATTCTGGCGTTTGTTATTCCCACGAGAAAGCAGAGCTAACCCTTCGACTAGATTTGGACTTAGATCAGTAACCTATTCAACGCACTCTAGGCATCTGTTGGGACGCACACTCTGACACCTTCTAGTTGAAGGGAGTTTGCCTAATGGTCGTGGGTCGTGGGTCGTGGGTACGAAGTCGTGGGTCGTGGGTAC